GGGGAAAGGGAGAGTTTACTTTCCACTTCTCCAGCCAAAGAAACTCTTGATCATGGATGGACCTTTGTCGATCCTACCACCAACTGAGCAGTTGTCCATGTCAAAATTCCCCGTGTCTATCTACTGATCTGATGATGAAATCATACCTTATCTCTTCTGGATTTCTTCATCTATCTACACCACCATGACACTTCAGACTCAGACCCTTCAACTTCAACATGACTACTGCACTGCAATATGAAAGCATACATCAGCATAGATTCATAGTGATTAGATTTACATCTAACTTTCTGGACAGTTGCTTCGCCGTTTTTCACCCTCTTTGTCTGATTGAAGGTGTCAGATCAGTTATCTCAGCCACTCTTTACTTTGTTCATAGTCTGATCTGTGCCTGACACTGAAAGTCAACAAAGCAGCACGTGAGTGGGATATTTCTGTACAACAAATAGATCTTACTAAAAATAGGACTCATCAGATCTTGTCGTGTTTGTAATAATTAGTATGCAGACCTAAGCTATCAATTACTATCATGAACTCTATGGCTGTGATGTCCACTTCACTGCTATTAGACTACCAAACATGGTTAGTCTCACACTGACCGCCAAGACTGTTGGAGAGGATCTATGATAATCCCTCCTCTCCACCAACTCCAGACTTCATCATAACTACCAGATAGCCAACAAGGTACTCTTTCAAGATGACGTCTAAGCTCGCGCAAAACTTGAAGCAACCCGCCTTGGACTTTTTGTCCTTTGTCAATGCCTCTCCAACTCGTAAATATACCCTCCTAATGGCTGAACTCCGATTCTTATCGAGCGACTGGAACTGACAGCAGCACGAATTCTTAGCCTTTCATGCTGTTCAGTCTGCAAAAGATCTCCTCATTAAAGCAGGGTTTCAGGAAATCAAGGTACGATATTCATATCTATGGGTGCAGATCATGTCAATATCAATTATCTCACTCTTTCCGCACAGGAAAAAGACTCTTGGGCTTCGACATGCCGACCCGGTGGAAAGTATTATCTGACCCGCAATAGCTCAACCATTGTAGCTTTTGCAGTAGGCAAGAAATGGAAGGTACGTTTGCACGACAGGTGACACATCATACAGCCTCTTCGGTCGAAAAGCTAAACTGTCGGCCAATTGTAGCCTGGCAATGCCATCTCCATGATCGGTGCGCACACAGACTCCCCTGTTCTGAGAGTCAAGCCTGTTAGCAACAAGCGCGGAGAGGGTTTTATTCAAGTTGGTGTTGAGACGTACGGTGGAGGCATCTGGCACACATGTCCGTTTCCTGAACTCTGTCCCTACAAAACTCACTCAAGACTAATGGCGTCCAGGGTTTGACCGTGACCTGGGAGTCGCGGGTCGCGCTATGGTTAAGACCAGTGATGGCTCCATTGGGCAGAAATTGATCAAGATCGACCGTCCAAGTAACACTCCCCGATGTTAATATTGCGAAGGAGGCGACAGCTGATCTCAATTGCAGTCCTTCGCATTCCCACCTTGGCCATACATCTTGACCGCCAGGAAACTTTCTCATTCAACAAAGAGACCCAGCTGTTCCCTATTGCTGGACTTGTGGCAGCCGAGCTCAACCGTACCGGTGAATCCACAGACACTGAAGCCAAGCAAGAGGGTAACGGAGAATTCTCACCTTTGAAGGCGATAACTGAGCGTCATCATCCCTACTTTGTCGAGCTCCTGGCTGCTGAGGCAGGTGTCAAGCCCGTCGACATCCTTGATTTTGAAATGATTTTGTTCGACACCCAAAAGTCTTGCCTTGGTGGCATGCACGAGGAATTCATTTTTTCGCCTAGACTGGATAATCTCAACAGCTCTTTCTGTGCCACTGTCGGCTTGATTGACTCTGTTGCTGATTCCTCGGCACTGGATGATGAGACGTCCATTCGACTCATCGCGCTGTTCGACCACGAGGAAATTGGAAGCCGTACTGCTCAGGGCGCTGACTCAAACCTCCTTCCCGCCATCATCCATCGCCTGTCGGTTCTCCCCTCATCTTCGTCCGACAAAGACGATCTATCTACAGCCTACGAGCAGACTTTGTCTACTTCCTTTCTCCTATCCGCCGATATGGCTCACGCAGTAAACCCTAATTACACTGCGAAGTACGAATCCGATCACCGTCCAGAGATTAACAAGGGTCCTGTGATCAAAATCAACGCCAACGCTCGCTACGCTACAAACTCTCCTGGTATTGTTCTCCTTCAGGAAGTTGCTCAAAAGGCGGCGGAAAATGGAGGCGAGGGCGTCCCTCTGCAGCTCTTTGTTGTTCGCAACGATTCCAGCTGTGGTAGCACTATTGGGCCTATGCTGTCTGCTGCACTGGGTGCTAGAACCCTTGATTTGGGTAACCCACAATTAAGCATGCACAGTATCCGAGAGACTGGCGGTACCTACGATGTGGGACACTCGATCCGCCTGTTTACCAGCTTCTTCAAACACTACTCCAGCGTTTCTAAAAAGATTCTGGTCGATTAAGATCCCGACCTAGAATACCTGTTAAGCGAGAGCACACATCTTATTACTCGGCATGCAGAGGCGCAGGATTAGCCTTCCTCATACGCAACTGAACTTGAAATGAAATATGCTATCAACGTTCTACCAGCCTCGCCATGCATCAGTATCTCACTGTCACGTTATGCAGGCGCTTCGCACAAACGAGGCAAAAACCAAGGACAATGATTTATGCTGCTCATTATAAGAAGGCGCGACAATGTCAGATGAATTTAGGGTAGTCATGAACAGTAAGCTCTTGATCTGGAGCAAAACACGATTCCCCTACCTATATTTCTCGCATTTGCGTAGAGCACATCTGTTACCGACCGTATTCTTACTTTAAAGGGCAGGCGGTCTTGTCAATATTAAAGCTTCACTATCGCGTATCACGTGTGGACGCGTCTCTTAGACACGCTTCCCCGACCTAATGCTTGAGACAACATCATCGAGCCAATCTTAATTTCAATGAGAACGTTTTATCGAAGTTTCTGAATTACTTAAATTCAATCGATTTCTTAAATTTGGAGTAGCTACTCATGGCTGCTAATTTCTTTAACAATAAGGCCCGAGCAGCAGCAGCTGCTGCTGCATCCACCAGTTCAAAGCAGAAGCCAACAGATGGAAAGGAGGAGCAGACACGACTACAGCCATGGGTTGAGAAGTAGTATGTGATATTTATTCTATTGTCCATCCTATGCAATGGCCGTCCTAACGGGGATCAATAGCCGGCCCAAGACCCTCGATGATGTAGCCGCGCAAGACCACACAACGAAAGTCCTTCAACGGACATTACAAGCTTCAAATGTACGACATAAAAGATTTCTTACCCCAAACAAAATTTACATTGGAACATGACTGACAAAAATAGCTTCCTCACATGCTTTTTTATGGTCCACCAGGTACAGGAAAGACCTCAACCATTCTCGCCCTTGCAAAATCGTTATTCGGCCCTGCTCTTTATCGGTCACGTATCCTCGAACTGAACGCCTCAGATGAACGAGGTATTGGCATTGTCCGGGAAAAGGTCAAGGGATTCGCCCGCACGCAACTCAGCCACCCAACCGGACTGGACTCTTCATATTTCGAACAATACCCCTGCCCGCCGTTCAAGATCATCATCCTGGATGAGGCGGATAGCATGACTCAAGACGCCCAGTCTGCGCTCAGACGCACGATGGAACAATACAGCCGGATCACCCGTTTCTGTCTCGTCTGCAACTACGTCACACGGATCATTGACCCGCTTGCCAGTCGATGCAGCAAGTTCCGCTTCAAGCCGCTGGATAATTCGGCCGCAGCGGAGCGCTTGGCGTATATTGCCAAATTGGAGAATTTGAAGCTTGATGGGGACGTCATTGATAAGCTGATCAGCTGCGGCGAAGGCGATTTACGGCGTGCCATTACATACATGCAGAGTGCGGCCCGGTTGGTAGGCGCTGGTCGTCCGACGGGCCAGAAAGATGAGGACGAGGACTCCGAGATGGCAGACGCCAGCTCGGAAGCTATCACTGTGCGAAGTATCGAAGAGATTGCCGGTGTCGTCCCTGAAAGTGTTATAGCTCGACTGGTTCAGGCCATGCAGCCGAAGAAATTGGGGTCTTCCTACGAGGCCGTCTCTGCCGTCGTCAAGGATATTGTTGCGGATGGGTGGAGCGCGGGTCAGCTTGTCTTGCAGGTAAGCTCTTTTGCCATTCACTTACACAAGGCTCCGTTCAATTGCACATGTCGCGAGATTCCGTCCTGCACGTAGTCGAAGATGCTAACCATTGCCAGCTATACCGACGGATTGTCTACAACGACGCTATTCCGGACATACAAAAGAACAAGATTGTAACCGCTTTCTCTGAGGTGGACAAGCGTCTGGTCGACGGGGCAGACGAACATTTATCGATACTAGATCTAGCCCTCCGGATATCAGGCGTCCTAGGCGGCTCATGATTTGATTGATCTATACGGAACCAAGGATTTCAGCCACCAATTTTTAGATTCATCCACACCACACATGAGGGCCATGGCCATTGTTCAACGTAAAGAATGTATTGAAGTATTCAAGCATGGGAGGATCTACTAGATCCCTGACTGCTTAGAAAGGTATGCGCCGCTTAATGAGAAATCTGCTCCGATAAGGCAATTCTGAACCGTTAGAGGAGTGCATATTATCAAAATAAAGACGGAAGACATGGAAATCACGCTACAATCATCAATATTACTGCTACCTACTAAGTATGAAGTATGAGCATCTCCGATTCCCTGGCCAATGTGCCTGAATGACTGCCCCACAACCACGTGTGGGCCCCGCTTGCGCATCTGTCCGAAGAGTCAGCATACAGGCAAGCTGACCGAAACCGCATCTTAACGGTCACTACTTGGATTTTGAGATTCGGTCTCATCAGCCAGTTCCTAAAACTTTTTCTCCTTTATATATCCTACAATAGTTTTCCTGGTCCCGAAACATCAGGATCAAGTACAGAAAGTCCAGAATGGCCCCTCCGGAGAGTCCTAAGGTGTACCCCGCGATGACGCGCGCACCCCGCCATCTAACAGGGAATAAGGAGGGGATCAAGGAGTTTTTGGATAAATTTGATGTGAGTCTAATCAGTAGCCACGCTCCAATGGCATGCACTCCATGCGTCTTATCCTGATCAGAAAGCTGATTGGATCTATTAGGTATTTCTGTTCGATTGCGATGGTTCGTGCTGCTCTCCTTCGCTCACTCATATTCCGTGCTATGGGCATAATGATGCTGCCAATACCTGATCCGATTCACTGGGGCGATTGCTGAACAAAATGCTTTGATATAGGAGTGCTTTGGTCTGGCGACCACCTCTTCCCTGGGACAGTTGAGACGCTGGAAATGTTGAGGAGCAACGGTATGCGCGCACCTGCTGGTGAGATGCTGCGACCAAGAGACTTATATCCACCAGGCAAGCGGGTTGTTTTCGTAACAAACAACAGCACAAAGTCACGGGCCGACTACAAAAAGAAGCTGGAGAAGCTGGGGATCCCTAGCACAACGGTACGTCTTCAAGCGAAGGCTTGCGGAGGCTGGGCCTGAGTGAAAAGGCGTGCACACCCGGCCAGGCTGACAAAAGAAAACAGGAAGAAATCTTTTCCTCCTCGTACAGCGCATCCATTTATATTTCCCGTATCCTCAAACTGCCGGAGAATAAGCGAAAGGTTTTCGTCATCGGAGAGACGGGGATTGAGCAGGAGCTTCAATCGGAGAACATTCCCTTCCTTGGAGGCACAGATCCTGCGTATCGTCGCGAGGTGAGACCTGAAGACTACAAGCTTATTGCAGCTGGGGACCCATCGTTGCTTGATCCCGAGGTTGGAGTCGTTCTCGTAGGCCTGGACTTCCATTTGAACTACCTGAAGCTGGCGCTGGCATATCACTACGTCAAACGTGGTGCGATTTTCCTTGCGACCAATATCGATTCCACCCTTCCGAACTCAGGAACGTTATTCCCCGGCGCGGGTTCCATGAGTGCGCCGCTGATCATGATGCTGGGCCAGGAGCCTGTCTCGCTAGGCAAGCCCAACCAGGCAATGATGGACGCAATCGAGGGGAAGTTCAAGTTCAATAGGTCTCGGACGTGTATGGTGGGCGACCGTGTCAACACCGACATCCGCTTTGGGTTAGAAGGCAAGCTCGGAGGCACTTTGGGTGTCCTCACTGGAGTCAGCTCAGAGGAAGACTTCGTGGCTGGGCCAGTTAGGCCTTCGGTGTACCTGCACAAACTTTCCGACCTTTTAGAAGCGAAGTGAAGTGGCATCACCGAGCACGTCTCCTATTGCTGACTTTCAAGCATCGGCCCCCGGTATAGGCACTTCAAGATATCCATAGAGTTGTTATATAATTTGACATATAAAGTGGTCATCAAAGGAATTGCATCCGCGCGCAAGCAACACTAGACCCCCTTGACGGCTCGACAGTCGTCCGGAGCTCTCAAGCAGGTCATGCTTACTGGGGCCTGAGGAATGCCTTCAATTTCCACAGCGCCAGAAGAGCTTGAACGGCCGTTGGGTCGTCTGGGCTCAAGAACAGAGCAGCGTTCTCGAAGAGTGGACCATAGCCCCTGATTTCTGCTAGATCGGATTGAGAGAATAGCTCGGTCAGGTCAAAGACGGGTACTCTGGACTGGACCTGCGGAAGGGTCACACATTCTGGATACGGAGACTTTGCTGATTCGTTGTCGTGAACCTGCTCTTGAGCGGTTGAAGAATCTCCATTCTCGCGTTGTTCCAACTGACGGTCCATGACCAGCACCCCACCGCATTCCATGCGCTCGATCTCTTCTAAGCATCTTAAGCCTTCCAGAAGAGCATCGTAAGAATTGTCTTTGGTTTTAATGATCCTTAAAGACCCAAGCCTTGGTTTCGACCGCTTCTGCACACCGTACATGTCTTTGAGTTGCTTTAGGACATGCTTCCGCATTCTCTCAAGAACGAACTCAGGCATGTCCTCCCGCCAAATCAACCGTTTTTCCTCTCGACTGGTAAGGGGGCCCAGCGGGTGCTTCCACCGAAAGGGCACCAGTTTTGTAATCAGGGGTCTTCTCCCACTCTTGTTTCGCGCAAGCGGTATCGTCAGGTCCTTCAGCAGGGGAAGACGGTCGATAATTCGTAGAGTGAGGGAGCGTAGCGACTTTTTCTCTGGGGTTGATCCTTCAATTTGATCATCTCGATTGGCTTGCGCGACTTTCGACGACGATAATTCGTCTCGTAGGAGACCAACAGGCATGAGCCAGAGCCCCTCGTCGTTTGGGCGTTGGACCAGACCCCAATCCGTCAAAAACTCCCGTGGCAAACGAGTTCCGGTAATTGTACACATACGTAGAGGCGATGCCAGTGCCAGTGCCCAGGGATTGAGACGTAATCGGTCCGCATCGCTCTGAGTTGGGCGTTTCTTGCGCTTCTTGTCGACTCCGGGAAGTGCTTTTGTGAGTAAGGGCGATTGAGGCAGTAGCTGCGAAGGACGGGCAGATTGAGTAGTCCGAGATGATGCTTCCCCGTTTTTCCTCGCATTGTCTCGATCTAGCTCCTGAGCGTCGGCTTCATTCTGAGATTCTCGGGGTGGAATTCGCGACTCGTCCTGGCCGATGGAGCTTGAGATTCCATGCCGAAAGATGCGATTGGACGATGCAGGATTTGAAGACGAGAGAAAATGATGACGAAACGTAGCTACTCGCCATGACGCGTATGAAGCGCGTTGTCGAAAGCACTCCATGCTCTGCTACTGTTGTGGTTGGACATGAAAACACAAGCTGAAGAAATCCGCGAGTAAGCGGAAGGAGTGATTGAGCTCTCCGTTCTCCGCTCTCCGATGGTCCTACTCCAAATCCTGACCAGTCCCTTGCTGCTCGATCAAGACTTCAAACATCCGGTCCACCGCTTACTTCATTGACGGGGCCATTCGCTCGCTTCCTGACTGGCTATGAACTCAAGCGTCCTTTTGAAAAGGCTGGGTCGCACCGCCCTACGCAGTGCTGCTCAGCCTGCGTTGTCGCGAAGCTTCACCAGCTCCATCCCCGCATTGTCCAGCGCAATCCCTCCGAGAGGCTGGACCCCAACACCATTTGTGACTGAGACAGTGGTGAGTCCCAAACTTCTTGGATGCTTGGGTAATGGCTAGATTAACTCACTGTTACTGTAGGGAGGCGGTTGGCACACATGTACGTTTGTTCGCCGTGTATCGATCTGCAGAGCCAACACCAAGCTAACTACGGGTTAAGACGATATCTTTTCCAGACTATTAAAGGTATAGCAGAGTCACCATAAGTAAACTCCATGAAATGCCTTTACTTACTTTTGTTCTCTCCAGGAGCGCATAATCTGCCTCAATGGCGAAGTAGACGAAACCATGTCCGCGTCGATAGTCGCCCAGCTCCTCTTCCTCGAAGCCGATAACCCTCAGAAACCTATCCACCTATACATCAACTCCCCTGGTGGCTCAGTGACAGCTGGTAAATCTAGCACACCCCCATATCATGGTCGTTCGTATAAACGAGCTAATCCAACACAGGGCTCGCCATCTACGATACAATGACCTACATCGCATCCCCCGTCAGCACAATCTGTGTCGGACAGGCAGCCTCCATGGGGTCGCTACTACTTTGCGGCGGCCACCCGGGCAAACGGTACTGTCTCCCGCACTCTTCTATCATGATACACCAGCCCTCGGGCGGGTACTTTGGACAAGCGAGCGATATCGCCATCCACGCCAAGGAGATTCTCCGTGTTCGCAGCCAATTGAACAAGATCTACCAGCGGCACCTGACGGGGAAGAAAGTGCTGTCTCTCGAGGAGATAGAGAAGCTAATGGAACGGGATTACTTCATGGGGGCGCAGGAGGCTCTGGAGATGGGTATCGTCGACGAGATTCTAGACCGCAGGGTCAAGCCGCAGGATGAAGGAGGAGAAGGCGAAGGGAAGCCGCCGGTGCCTTGAACGGAGCAGAGACATCTGTCTGCGTCTTTGATGAAAGTGCATACATACCCAATGCTATGCTTGTAACATTACGACTACTAGTTTCGATTTCTGTCCAATCGCGACTCTTTTATTCCAAACCCTTCCAAGGGTGTGACTTGGGCCCTGCAGTGCACATCGATATCATTAGGCGTATGTGTTAACAAGGACATATTTACAGAAGAACCTATTGATAACCAATTCGTGAACAACGGCAGGAGGAAAAGATTCAGGATTCTATCCGCTGAACACGTCCATCAGGCCCGACCTGCAGTCCAAACCTTGCTCGTAGAAAAGCTGCCGTCTGGTCTGACGGTATGTACGAAGATGTTCGTGCCGGCGGGGTAGTAGTACTGTATTTCCACTGGTCACGGATGACATCAAAAAAGCCAAGGTTCATGATCACAGCCTCTCCTGAGGAAAAAGTGTCCAGAGGGTGGCTATTCTTCGCACCAGGCGTATGACCATCCTCTGACGGATCTGCCAATAATTGTGTATGTTCCATCTGTTCATCTAAACTGGCATGTGCATGGGTAACATGGGCGTTGATCTCATCAAGCTCAATTTCATCACCGGAAGACCGCGACTCGGGTTGAGTCCTATGGACGCCTCTTTCCTCCGAGTCGTGGTCTTGTACTCTGGGCGTTTCTGCTGCAGCAGGGGTGGTCTGCCCGGTTGTCTTCACTCTTTCGACTATGAGACCCAGCATGACGAGATCGAGAATCAGGACAAGAAAATCAAGCGACAACAGCCGAAATAGCGAAATGGGGGCTTTTTGTCCGATGAAATCGATCAACAACCCCCCATGAAGATACCCTCTAGTAGCTTCTCCGGCCTCAGGACGACTGAAGAGGTTGTGAAAGATCATACAAAAGATGTTACTGACGAAGATAGCTCCGATGAAGGGTTGATTCCGTGTCGGATCAAAAGGAGGGGCTTTGGGGGTGAAGAATATCAACTGCACTATAGCACGGATTGCGAAGAGTATGACTGAGCAACTGGAGCAAAGCAATGAGAGTACTGTTAGCAAAGCACATGCCACACTCTCACAAAGTGCTCTACAGAGCAATTCTAGAAAGCAGTCATGATGAAATTGAGGCAGCTCACTCCAAGTAATAGAGCGCAGATAGCTCGCAGTAAATCAGGATATCCAGGTCGCGAAGTAGACGATCAATGAATGCAACCTTTGCAGCCGACTGCAGCTTTCTCATGCGCTCATTCTCACGACTCAACACACTAGCATCTTGCTCGGTGAAGTTCGCGACGCTTCCATAAGATATGCCGGACACGTCAGCGATGTACTCCGCATCTCGAAAGGCATCTGGAGTTGTCATAGAGGTTCATGAGGGCATGAAAGGCGAGTTTGGAAAAGGGGGGGAAAGCAGACACCAGAGACGGTGCCAAAGGACTTCTATTATGCGGAACGCCAGTATGCATGCGAATGAGCTGACAGCCCGTTCGGTAATGTCAGGATTCCATCCCGTTTAGGTTTAGCGTCCCGACTTAGTCAGCCTATATATAGTTGGCCCCTGAGCCATCCTAATTGGACACTTGGCGCTTCCCGATTCTCTCAGGTTATGGCCCTATGTTGA